TATTGAAATCATCCCTGATAATTGTAATCACAATGTAGGGGTATTTACCAATGTCTAAAAAAATGGTATATTTTCGCTTTGAGATTGTCCTTTGTAGGCGCCCTTTTTTTCCTCAAGAAAGTGCCCTATTTCTTGGTGCCTCCCACTTTGGAAGTCGCTCGGCCGCCCCTGAAGTAGGTCCATGTTATGATGTAGGAAGTGAGTCATGTTCTGTGTGTATCTCATGATCGCATGATGTTCAATGTGACGTGGGAAAACCCATCGACCCTGAATGTGACACAATGCTCATAGCCGGATCACTACAAAGAGCTTACCCTCTATCTAGCTCTCCTTAGAATCCAACGATGGCTAATTGGGAAATTGTCTCGTTTCGATTGATATTGTCCATCATTATTCTGCCACATATTAATGGTGTATCAAATGTTGAGATGCTCTTGTTTTTTTGTTAATCTAGGAAAGATTCTTTGGTTTAAACCTTGAGATGCTCTTGTTTCTTTGTTAATCTAGCAAAGATTCTTTGGTTTAAACCTTGAGATGCTCTTGTTTCTTTGTTAATCTAGCAAAGATTCTTTGGTTTAAACCTTGAGATGCTCTTGTTTCTTTGTTAATCTAGCAAAGATTCTTTGGTTTAAACCTTGAGATGCTCTTGTTTCTTTGTTAATCTAGCAAAGATTCTTTGGTTTAAACCTTGAGATGCTCTTGTTTCTTTGTTAATCTAGCAAAGATTCTTTGGTTTAAACCTTGAGATGCTCTTGTTTCTTTGTTAATCTAGCAAATATTCTTTGGTTTAAACCTTGAGATGCTCTTGTTTCTTTGTTAATCTAGCAAAGATTCTTTGGTTTAAACCTTGAGATGCTCTTGTTTCTTTGTTAATCTAGCAAAGATTCTTTGGTTTAAACCTTGAGATGCTTTTGTTTCTTTGTTAATCTAGCAAAGATTCTTTGGTTTAAACCTTGAGATGCTCTTGTATCTTTGTTAATCTAGCAAAGATTCTTTGGTTTAAACCTTGAGATGCTCTTGTTTCTTTGTTAATCTAGCAAAGATTCTTTGGTTTAAACCTTGAGATGCTCTTGTTTCTTTGTTAATCTAGCAAAGATTCTTTGGTTTAAACCTTGAGATGCTTTTGTTTCTTTGTTAATCTAGCAAAGATTCTTTGGTTTAAACCTTGAGATGCTCTTGTTTCTTTGTTAATCTAGCAAAGATTCTTTGGTTTAAACCTTGAGATGCTCTTGTTTCTTTGTTAATCTAGCAAATATTCTTTGGTTTAAACCTTGAGATGCTCTTGTTTCTTTGTTAATCTAGCAAAGATTCTTTGGTTTAAACCTTGAGATGCTCTTGTTTCTTTGTTAATCTAGCAAAGATTCTTTGGTTTAAACCTTGAGATGCTTTTGTTTCTTTGTTAATCTAGCAAAGATTCTTTGGTTTAAACCTTGAGATGCTCTTGTTTCTTTGTTAATCTAGCAAAGATTCTTTGGTTTAAACCTTGAGATGCTCTTGTTTCTTTGTTAATCTAGCAAAGATTCTTTGGTTTAAACCTTGAGATGCTCTTGTTTCTTTGTTAATTTGGGAAATGTTTCTTTATTATATCAAGAGTGAAACCTTCCCAATTTCTCTACATACCAATGCTTTTCTCTGTAATGTAATTTAGCATTACATTGTCAAAGTAACCTTTAGCAAACAAAAGAAATTCAATTATAAATAAATTTTGCAGATCACAGATTTGTTATAATCAGTAGTGCTCCATTGTTAGAAAATATGATTATCTTTATATGACTTTCTTTGTTTTCCCAAACAATGTACATTTTGTGTTTTAAAGAAAATATAGTTTGGGTGTATAAACCGTTTTTGGTAACCCACAACTATGACCGGTTAGATGATGGGATCAGATAACTAGAATTGATATGATCAACAGGAAAAAACAAGATGATGTCCTTCCGTCAATCTTGTAGAAATGAAGAACTGATAGACATGTATGTTAAGCTCTTTAGCCGGAATGCACACAAATTAAACTGTTCCTCATATATGATTAAAGCCAGTAGCAATAAAGCTACTATTTAAATGTTTAAAAGTCAGTCCAAATGTTATGAGTAGCTAGGTATAATAATGAATGACGAGAATTCAATGAAACTTTTGGAACTTACTCGTGTAGATAGGCAGGATGATATCTACGATTTTGAAGTTATTCCTGTCATAGTATGAAAAGAAAAATGTCCCACTTTCTAGTGGGTTTCATGAAATGTCTCGATAGAGTTATCCTCCCAGTACATTTAGGTACCATTTTAATTTGAATCTCTGCATGCATGACTGAACATCAGACAATCTTTACAAGACTACCAGATCTCACTTGCGCCAAGTTGCTGGGTGAGGAATAAAATAGTGTTTTGAACAAAGGCAGCCAAAAAAACACACACACACACGCACGCGCACACACACACACACACACACTCACACCCACGCAAACGCACACGCACACGCAAGTGGGACATTTTTTCTGACCCACTCTGTATACTATGGAGAATGACCATGGGATATAAAAAGTATCTCAATCCCAATAGCTAACAAGTTGCTTTGAAAGCTATAGCTGAAAATTCAGAGAATAAAACTCAGTGGTTAAATTTAAGCAAGTAAGGATTAATAATAAGAGATTTACACATCTTTAAATAGATCACTAGCCTTTGTGTATGGAGACTTAATTTTTAAAATGGTAAACGAATTTAACTATGGCATGTTTACGGACTGTAATAATCTTCTCTCTCACATGATTATACCTTCTACCTTGAGGCTTTAAAGTGTCTTGAACATCTTGAAAAGCACAACCTTCGTAAAGCTTGGCTGTAGTAAATAAGCAGTTAGTATTATGGTATTACTCCCTGTTTGGGTCATGGAGGGAGAGAGCGAGAGAGAGAGAGAGAGAGAGAGAGAGAGACAGACAGACAGAGACAAGAGAGAGAGAGAGAGAGAGAGAGCAAGAGAGAGGTTTTTTTTACGGCGAAATATACTTTTTTTGTATAGCCTTTGGGGTATAGATGGCTCTCATAGTATACGGGGGGGGGGGGGGGGAGGGGGGCACATTGCCCCCTTACATTTTTTCAAGCACCCGAAAAGAGCCCCTTATTACATAGGAAATATGCCCCTTTTTAAATAGGAATAGTGCCCCTTTTACTTTGAAAAGTGCCTATATTATTTGTTAAAGTGCCCCTTCCCCTTTTCAACTCTGATAAATGCCCCTTTTATTTGGACACGTGCCCCTTTTCCTTCGACAAGTTCACATTTTTCCTTTGCAATAAGTGTCCATTTTCATTCTAATCGGAGCCCCAATCCTAATAATAATAATAATAATAGATCACATTTATAACGTGCCTAATACATTGTTTCTAGGCACAGTGGTGCTGTTGTCCCAGCAGCCATTACGTGAAGCAATGTCCTTACACGAAATAAAGCCGGGACGACAGCACCACAAGTACACAATATTATTCAGTACAACATTACAGTATGTTACGCTATGTTACGTTACAAAATCAGAATTACAATTTGTTACAAATATATGAATAAACCAGCTTAATCTAACTTAATTCTGCTAAAGATGACTTATTTCATAACAATAGTAGTACGACATCATTTATTTATTTGACATGTTTAGAGAAGACAAAATTCATGGTATGGATTTGAATAGATGGGTTTTTAACATTACTTTGAAAGTGGATGTAGAAGGAGCATTTTGAATGTAGGACGGGAGGCTATTCCACAACTGGGGGGGGGGGGGGGGGGTATTGGAGTAATATGTGCATAAGGTCTTGAGCGGGTAACTAGACGAGCGGCAGCATTTTGGATACGTTGAAGAGGAACAAGGTTAGATGGTGGCAATGATAAGTGCCCCATTAAAAAAAGAGTCCCTTCCCCTTCTCATAAATGCCCCTTCTCTGGTAAATGACCCTTTTCAGGTACGAGAAGTTACTCCTTTTCGCTTCAGATAAGTGCCCCCTTCACCTCCGATAACTGGCCCTTTAAATTCTGGTCGGTGCCCATTTTTTTTTACTTTATTACAAGTGCCCCTTTTTTATTCACATAAGTGCCCCTTTTCATATTTGGGCATTGCCCCTTTTCAGATGCGATAAGTGCCTCTTTTCACCTTTAATAATTTCCTTTTTAACAATACATAATAGTATCTTATAAATGCCCCTATCAAAATCTGATGGGGGCCCCATTTCCGTAGTCAAATGCCCATTTCCTAACCTCATGACTGACTTTTTTTCATCCCTGGCGAGTGCCTCTTTTTGAGGGTGCAAGAAGTGCCCTATTTTCACCTCTGATAATTATTCTTTGTACTTTGGCACATGTTGCTTTTCTTTCCTGACAAGTATCCCATTTTCCTTTCATCATCAATCGTGCTCTAGCTTATTTTAAGCGACTAAGAGCAATTTCCCTCAAAACTCGCTCGCTCGGCTTGCGCACTACGCTCGCACGCATCTATAGAAGCGTGCGAGCGTAGCGAGCGAGCTTTGAGGGAAATTGCTCTTAGTCGCTTGAAATTAGCTATACTTATGTTACTTATCAAAGGTCTTCAGTCTTCCGTTATGAGAATGTGCTTATAACCCTATTAGAATTGGGTTTTTGTTCTCTTTATAAGATGTAATTTTTCGGACTGCGACCTCACGAATCCCAAACATTTTCCTCGCTCGTTTCGGTTGTTCGCAAACAAGTTTTTAGACAATCAAACCAGATTGCAAAGCATGATGCTTAAGCAATATATTGTATGTTGTAAAAAGTGAAACAAATATTGAAATCATCCCTGATAATTGTAATCACAATGTAGGGGTATTTACCAATGTCTAAAAAATGGTATATTTTCGCTTTGAGATTGTCCTTTGTAGGCGCCCTTTTTTTCCTCAAGAAAGTGCCCTATTTCTTGGTGCCTCCCACTTTGGAAGTCGCTCGGCCGCCCCTGAAGTAGGTCCATGTTATGATGTAGGAAGTGAGTCATGTTCTGTGTGTATCTCATGATCGCATGATGTTCAATGTGACGTGGGAAAACCCATCGACCCTGAATGTGACACAATGCTCATAGCCGGATCACTACAAAGAGCTTACCCTCTATCTAGCTCTCCTTAGAATCCAACGATGGCTAATTGGGAAATTGTCTCGTTTCGATTGATATTGTCCATCATTATTCTGCCACATATTAATGGTGTATCAAATATAGATTCAGATCAAGAGGACTATGTCACAGAGAGCTGGAGTGCGATTGACATACGTAAGCATAAAACTTAAACGGCTTATTAGTTGTAATGGTAGTTGAATTGTTAGCATACCTTCTCTATAATATACTTATACACATACCGAGAGAATGTGCCGCATGACCCTAGGGGTTTACAATGAAATTACGCCCCCTGTCAAATCTTATCTATTCATAAAATCAAACCAGGTTTATTGTCGCTTTTAATTTATATAGAACTTATGCCACAATATAAAATGATACACTTACCCAGACTTTGTTTAACATTTCAATGTTTTGACTATAGGTTGGCCAAATACCCGACCTGACATTTGGATCCCAAGTACAACAAGCATTGGTGAGAACTATTCCTCTTTGATTTAAAATTATATTAAAGTAAACTGTAATTCTACTCGTTTTGTTTAAATGTCAATATTTATTTCACAGACCTTCTCTTTGACATCATTATGAATCGCCGTATATATATTTCATTTCATTTCATTTATTGGTTCAACCATTAAAAAAAAAAACATTCAGAAAATATAAACAATATCTATTTATCTACATTATGATTCATCCTCATTATTGGCAGCCCCCACTCCCCTGGAATATTTGACAAGCTGTAGTGATATATACTGGAAATTCGATTTCGGCTTTCTGTTTCATTCTTGCGTTTTACTGTGATGAGTGCAAGTCGAAAAGCTTAAGTTATGGCTCTCTTCAATGCTATTCTCCAAATTTGATCTGTAATGTTAATACTAGTTGAAGGAACGGGGCACAAAGATGATAAGAGATAGCACTGAGGTATTATGTCTGCATGTATATCCCAGGTCGAAAAACCAGTTGAAACCAGTAGGGAACTGGTACCAGTTGAAACCAGTATATTCAAGTGTTTTTTAATATGGAAATTGAAACACCGCTAACTGAGACCATGCAGTTGAAGAAACATTTGACATCTGAGACCAGTTTATATTTCTAGTTGATTTACCAATTGATAACCAGTAGATTTACCAGTTGATATACCAGTTGATTATCCAGTAGAGACCAGTAATCTACTAAATATCTATCAGCTGCAGATGATGGGGGACAAGGGGCACGTGCCCCCACCCCCCCCCCCCCGGTAAAAAAAAAAGGGGGAAGGGGGAAAAGAAAAGGGAATAGAGGAAAAAGAAGAAAAGAGGGAGGAGAGAAAAGGGGAGAGGAGAAAAAGGAGCGGGAAAGGTAGAAAGGGGAAAAGAAAAATAATGAGAAGGGTAAAGAAAGGGGGATGATATTATAAGAAGGTGTTTTTTTACCGGGAAAGGAGCGGGGGGGGGGGCACGCAATATTGCAGTGTGCATAATACGTGGTAGGCGTGCTAGCTAGCTAGCTAGCTATCGCGCGCGCACGATATCGAGATCAGTTAAGTGATTGATTGTGGAAATTGTATATGTTACTGTAGTAAGTTGTTAATATACTTTTAAAGTATTTTGATGCATATTTCTAATTAATCATGTGGGTCCAGAAATGTCAGCTGCAGTAAGCCCATACTGTGGGCATGTATTTGTCTTATGTCTAGTGGTGAAAGAAGTTGAGTTCTCTCAAACAATTTACTGACATTGAGGACAAGAGTTATTTTTTTTTTATTTCAAGTACATACCACTACCAGTAGTTTTCTTCTGTTGGAAAAACAAATCCTTTACACATGCAAAATATTGATATCTATTTAATTCTTTATCTTTTTAGTGAAAATGATAAAAAGAAATTGTGTTTGGATATCAAATTTCATAAAATTTTCATGAACAGAGCATCTTTTCCTGCGATTCGTTGACATAGTTGTGGATCTCTTGGGCATATGATCATTTGCATATTATCCATGTTGACAGATTTATACTTGTGCAAACACTATTACTCTTCACATCCTACTCTCTTAAAAAAAAAGAGTGAATTTTCACTTTATTTTCACTTTCTTGGGAGTGACGTCCGTGATCACATGTTTAGGAGTGAAAATCGATTGATTTTAGAGTGCTCTCTAAGAAGAAAAGAGTGAATGTTCACTCTATTTTCACTACATTTTCACTCTCCAGAGGAGTGACGTCCGTGATCACTCGATTTTTTTAGAGAGTAATGCAACAAACATGTCATGTGGGACATGTTTGTTGTGATATCTTCACTTTGTGGAACCTGGTGTTTTTGCATAATATATGATCATTATTTGTGTTTATCGTTCATATCTAATTTCTATGTTTACAGCAGGCGCGTACGCAGGGGGGGGGGGGGGGGGGGTTTGGGGGGTTAAACCCCCCCTTTGGTATTTTTATGTGTATAAACCCCCCTAAAAAAAACCAAACCCCCCCCCCCCCCCCCTTTGGGTTTTTTTTTTTTTTTTTAATAAAAAAAAAAAAAAAAAAAAAAAAAATTATTCCCATGGCTGACCTAAAAAAGGCGACCTTAACCCCCCCCCCCCAACGGAGCAAAATGTCAAATTTTCAAATTTCTAGACCAAAAAAAAAAAGTGTCCTCTGACCCCCTCCCCCCCCCCCCCCCGCTTATTCGGCTGAGCCGTTGCGATTTTTTTGAGACCAAAAAAAAAAAAAAAAAGTGTCCCCTTGCCCCCCCCCCCCCCCCCTCATTCAGCGGCTGGCTGAGTCGATTTAAAAATGTTAACCCCCCCCCCCCTGAAAAAATTCTGCGTACGCGCCTGGTTTACAGCATTTGTAGGGTTTCATTTCATTTATCCACTTTCTACAAGCTGGCACATTAGGGATGAATGATATATGCTGGCTTGAAGTTACGGAAATATGTTCGGGAAGAAGTGGATTTCCGCTGCAATCATGTTAATATGTTGGTAGACCTCTGACCAGACATTTCCCCCTCAGAGTGAAAATGTCTGGAAGGAATGATGAAAATGTCTGGAAGGAAATTGAGATATAACAGATCCCTAACTGTGTCACACCATAATTCTGAAATGAAAACATACTTGAGTCTATACGTACTGTAATTAAGAATAATATTTTGAATAGATCTTCCATCTAATTGACACAAAGCATCTATTTCTATTCATGCAAATGATTTTAACAAGAAATCAAACTTCTTTGTCATTTTACACTGTATAGAAGGACCCGTTGTCTTTATACAAAAATAATCGCTATTTACAAGAAAATAAAGATGTCTTGGGCCAATTTGAGAGGAGGCCTTTTTATTTTTTACCAAACTAAGCGAGAAGCAAATTCAAAATCAACTTTCATGCCAGGCGGTAGCCCCCCCCCCCCAAAAAAAAAAAAGAAAGCACAAGAAGACGACAAAAAAAGAGATGGACAAAAGAGGGGAAAGAGAGAATTTTTGTGAGTTAAAGGAGAAAGGAAAAAAATGAAAGAGAATTAAACAATGATAGAAGAGAGGTGCTTTACTTTGTCTTTTTTAGAGTTCTAAAGAAAAATAAATGATATTTTATTCATATCTATTGGGAACAGGATACACTGTTGCAACATAAACTATTTGTGAAATCAGGAACGATTTAATTATACATATTTTCCGATAAAACACCAGTTCACAGATAAGATTTTCCGGGGGGGGGGGCAATTGTCCTTGGGGGTATTTTTCCGGGGGGTAATTTTCCAGGGGGGATTGCCCACCCCCACCCCCTGAGCGAAATATCGGTCCGCGCGATTTTCAATTTTTAAAACACACCCCTTGAAAAAATCCTGAGTACGCCACTGTACCAGTTGAGACCAGTATTCTACTGCCATGGTCCCATTCAGTAACAACTGGTATGCTATTTGACTTGTCCGATTTCAAACTGGTATTTCTATACAGGTTTCCAAATTGTTTTAACTGGTTTTCACTGGTACCAGTTTAGAACAGTTGAGACCGGTTCAAAACAATAGATACCACTTCGAAATCCTTACTGGTATCAACTGGAATTTCGACCTGGGTGGGTGGTATTGCTAGCTTGGAATACTAAATGAAACAGCTTCAAAAATTAATCGGATAAACAGAGAGAATAACGATATTAGACTTTGTTTGGCAATATATAATAAAGATATTTTAAAAATCCACATATCGGGAGATAATTAACCCATCAAGACATGAGGGGGAGTGCCAACCCTAGTCAAACACTTGACTTGAGCACACCAAAACAAAAATCAACGAACCTCTATTAAAACAGGGCTGTCAACTTTGTGTAAATGCCTCGAGAGAGAGATCGAATGCAACTTGTTTGTGGGCTTAACAGGGTGAGGGGGGGGGGGGGGGCGGGCGGGTAGTGAGCACTTAATTTTTTTCAATTTGTTTTTAAAAATAACTTTTTTACTCAACATCCCTCCCCCCTTCAGCCCCCAAAAGGGTAAAATTGTGGTTACCATGTTCGGCGAGAGGTTTTTTCATAAACCGGGAGATTCTACATCGAAGCGGTAGAACGAGAAGAAGGGCGTGGTGGCGTGAGTATAGTACCAGGGAGGGTGACAGCCCTAATTAAAATGTCCTCCCTTAAATACTCCTGATGTAGGGAGCCATCTTGAAGTTCGTTTGGTTAATGGACCACGCAACGCTACAGGTCGAGTCGAGGTACGGTACAACACCAGCAGTGCTTGGGGAACAGTATGTGATGATGGATGGAATTTGAACGACGCCAATGTCGTATGCAGAATGCTAGGGTTCCTCAAAGCATCAAGTGCACCAGTTGATGCTGAATATGGTGCAGGTTCTGGAGACATTCTTCTTGATGAAGTTGATTGTACTGGATCAGAAATTAGCCTCGAAGACTGCATCAAGAGTGAATTTGGAGTCCATAATTGTCTTCACAGTGAAGATGCTGGTGTCATCTGTACAGGTATGATCTAACCCTGATTGTGAAATTCGAAAAGTCTTAATATGTAATTCTTGTTTTTTTTCTCTATTTCAGTTATGTCTTCTCCTTTTCTCTCTCTTCAGTCCTCGCCTCACTTCTTCCCTTTCCTTTCTCTCTCTGTGTCTCCCTCTCACGCTCTTACTCTATACTTACTCCAAGCTCTACTTATATTTATATCTGCGTCTTTGTCTGATATCCTTGTTCTCTTCCATACTCAAAACCTGAATTCATAATATATCATTGTATTTCAGATCCTATCTTTCTTCAAGTCCGTCTTGTCGATGGTCCAAATAACAACTCGGGAAGAGTTGAGGTGTTCCAAGAAGGATCTTGGGGAACTATCTGTGACGATGGCTGGGATGGTAAAGACGCTAATGTTGTATGCAGAATGCTGGGGTTCTTCGGTGCAGCATACGCATCTGTACAAGCTACATACGGTGAAGGGGTAGGAGACATCTCACTCCGTAATGTGGATTGTATTGGGACAGAAATCAACTTGGGAACATGCTTCCACGACAGACCTGAACCTTTTGACTGTGCTCATGACGAAGATGCCGGTGCTGCCTGCTTGGTTCTAATACCAGGTATAATGTGAAAGGAATAGAATAGTCCTTAAATCCATCAATATGCAATTGTGTCCTGCTTATTTAGTTTGAAAACAAAATATCATGCTATAGATATATGAAGATAATTTTGAAACAATGTAAGACATATTCGTTTTTCGCTCAGTACACCTGTTTAGATTTTTTGTTCCATATATTTTAACCCTTCTTTTTCATTGTAATTTGAACAGATGATTCCGTGAGCTCGGCATCATCCTGGAATGGTAAGTAAAAAGAGAAAAAGAGAATCGAATAGCTGATAGATGCACGCTCTACTGCTTACTTTTTAACAAATTGATGATAAAAGAGCTTTGATTTCATGACAATCAACAGTGATAAGCAGGAATCTGCTGGGATACTTGTCTCGTTGAACCATGAAAGTATGATATATATAGATATAAAAGATTCCAGAAAGAACGGGAACAGGGGGGGGGGGGGATAAGTCACATTTTCCAATCGATACATCAGGGCATGAATACTGCTTTCTTAGGGAATAATACTTTTTTTTTTCTCGAATCCTAGTGTTTATATTATGAATTGGGCTCATACTTTCTGTTATCGGAAGATAAAACTAATCAGTATACTGTAATTTAAATTTAAATTTTTACTTTGATTATGAAGATGAAGGAACATTCGAGCTACAATGTCGAAACCTAAATTCGACCACGGATAAAGGTCTCACTACATCATCTACTGTCAACATAATCCCACACGTCGATGGTTCCGTTGACAATCAGAAATTATCTGTTGGCTGTACGTATACTTCACATGATGTATTTTACTATGGAGACACATGGGTTGCCTGTGCTGCACGAGATGATCTGGGAAACTACGTGACATGCGGTTTCACGGTCACCGTCAAAGGTATGTAACAAAAAGGAAAAATTACAACAACAGTAGTATAACATTGTATCAGCGATTCAGTAGACACTCGTGTTATTATAGAGTACTTCAGGAATTGATTATGGTTATACTTTGGTATAAATAGAAAAATCTAGTATACTTTCTCAAGGTCCTCACTATGTTTCAAGAAAATCTGCATCATTATTGAAAGTGCTGCAGAATAACAAAAAATAGCAATGCTGTTAAAATAACTCTAGTGCCTGGTATTTTTTGTTTGCCATTATCAGTTACTGTGATTTTCAACAATCACCTTTAATTCTTAGAGTTTTCAGTTTAGTTAATTTATATATTTTGGTATAAATAGAAAAATTTGGTATACTTTCTCAATGTACGCACTCTGTTTCATGAACACGAGAATTCCTGACTCCTAATTACCAGTGCTGCAAAGTTTACAGTTCGGTTAATGTACACGTTTTATTTGCAAAATATTACGTTGAATTCCTCTACCTTTATATAACTAATTAGAATCCAAAATCCTTCATTAATATTATTATTTTTGTTTTGTTTGCTACCACTCACTTTATTTTTGGTTGTCCCAAAATTTGTATTTCAAGATGGCGACCCTCCCCGTTTGGACTGCCCTGACGTAACTTCCACCACGGACCAAGGTCTTTCTACATCTTCCCACATCACCATCAACCCTCAGGCATCAGACAATACTGACCCTAGTCCGTATGTGATCTGCTCTCATACATCCAGTGATGTCTTCCAGTTTGGAGATACCAATGTTACCTGTCATGCTACGGACGAATCAGGAAACATTGGCAGGTGTATGTTCGCGGTTACAGTACAAGGTATGATACAACTTTAAATGTTATATGTTCGTTCAGGTACTGAATAAATATTAAGCAAAATAAGGAAGTTGAACTTAACATTTATTTAGGATTTAGGATGCTACGTATCATCATTCTAATAAACCAATTTGATATTTGTGAAATGTTTGTTCTTACCTAACCTATATCTCCTGGGCGATCGAAAGATGGAGTAAGTTCCGGAAGATATCATTAGCCGCAAATACCTGTATCTTGTTTCTTAAAAGGTCATTCTGTTGCTTGTCATGGATTGTTAACCCTCTACAGCCTGTGTGATTTCCTTATTGCTTACTGGTCGGTTTGACCGGGGTATAAAACAGAACGAATACACAACTAAATACTCCACCTCAAGCTCAAGGAGATAGACCAGCGACCAACTACATTTTAGTATGTATGCATCAAGGACAATCCAACTATCTGAACATCGTCGCAGTCTACCGGCCACCACCCTCGGCAGCCAATGGGCATACGGTGAATAGATTTTTAGATGAAATCGATGACTTCCTCAGCAGTTGTGCCATGCTGAATGGACAACTTCTGGTTGTAAGAGACTTCAATATCCACGTCGACGCCGCACAGAATAGAGAAAGTCACCAGTTTCTGAGTTCCATGTCAGCAGCAGGACTCCAGCCGTATGTGACGGGAATAATATGGGTCACACACTGGACTTAGTTATGTCACATAGTGAAAGTCATCTTGTGTCCAAGTGCTCAGTGATCGATAAAGGACTTTCATATCACTTCAATGTTTACTGTACTCTGAGGATTGTGAATCCAGATGTTGAGAAAAAGGTGACAATTACATCTCGGAACTATCGTGAACTTGACCGTAAGTTATTTGGCCAAGATCTTCTGAGAGCTTTCGGCTACCTGCCCGCAGATGATGCTAGTTCTGCATTAGACTCCTATAACGATGCTATCAGTTGCGTCCTAGACAATCATTATCCAGTGTCAACTCGCACGAGGAAACAACGACCCTGTGTACCATGGTACGACGCCAAGGTACACGAAGCTAGACAGCTGAGACGGAATCTTGAGCGAAAATGGCGAAAGACACAAGCGGCATGTGATCGTGAACTTTTCATCAAGCAGAAGAACTATATGTCACTCGGGTTATCCAGACTGCAAATAATTTTGTTTACACCGACGCATTTCTGACATCGATTCCTAAGAGTCTTTATATACTACTTGGAAGGGAAAATCTGCAATCGCCACACCACACCGATGATGATCTTCAGTTGAGTAATGACTTTGCGGACTACTTTGACGATAAGATCTCCAAAGTTAGACAATCTCTCGATTCCGCAACACTAGTAAGTGCTCTGCCACTGGTCACCGCCCCTCCTGTTATGCCAATCTCGCAAGGAAGCCCGGAGAGTGGGCCACCACTAACTGAGCTTGACCCTGTGAGCGATAGCGAGATCAAGAAGATTGTCCGATGAGCTGCTACAAAATCCTGTAATCTCGACCCACTGCCTACATGGCTTCTGAAAGACTGCGTCGAAATATTTATTCCTATCATGAGCCAGATTGTGAATTCGATCATCAGTTCTGGTGTATATACAGATAAGTTGAAGGAGGCTATCATCTTCCCTCTCTGCTGAAGAAGTCATCGCTTGACCACGAGGTCATGAAGAACTATCGTCCGGTATCGAATATCGCCTTCATGTCCAAAGTACTTGAGCTTGCAGTGTATACCAGACTACCGTCGTATATTATCTTCGTGATCATGATCTTCGTGAGCATTTCCAGTTAGCATACAAGCCTTCCACAGCACGGAAACTGTCCTGCTTCGTGTAAAGCAGGACATTCTTCAAGAGATTGACCAGAAGAGGGGAGTACTTCTTGTGCTACTAGATCTGAGTGCTGCCTTCAACACCATATATCATTCTATTCTGCTATCAAGACATCAGACTGAGTGTGTATAAGGGAGACAGCCCTTCAATGGTTTACATCGTATCTCACTGGACGTTCCTCACGTGTCTATGTGAAGGGGAAATATTCTGAAACTCATAGATACGGCGTTCCGCGGGGCTCAGTACTCGGGCCTCAGCTTTTCACAATGTACATCTGACCTTTTGGAGATATCATCAAACGCTATGGTCTACAGTAGCATCTTTACGCAGACGATACGCAGATTTATGGTAATTTTGATCCACGCAATCAAGCTAGTCCCGATGAAGCTTGCAATTAACTGGAAACATTGTATAGGCTAGTTGAGTCGATGGATACAAGCCATATGCTGAAGCTTAATGGAGACAAATCAGAAATCATCCTTCTGTTATCCAGCAGACTACGCCCTTCAGGTGATCTGAGCCTGCAGATTGGAAACGCCACTGTTGATCAATCAACAACTGTTAAAAATCTTGGTTTTTATTTTGACCAGACTTGAACATGTTCGTAGAGTGTGCCCAGTTGCCAATTTCTATAATGAGAAACATATGTCATAAAGGGAAAGTACCTTACAGGTGAAGCTTGTTGTCATGCAGTACGTTCTCCAGTTTTGAGCAGGCTTGATTACGGCAATTCCCTTCCGAGTGGCTCGTCTGGTGCTTGGTGCAAAGAAAAGAGAGCCATGTGCTCCTCTGTTGAAGCAACTACACTGGCTTCCCATCAAACAGCGATTTGAATTTAAACTAGCACTTTTAGTGTATAAGTGCTTGATGCATACAGCTCCACACTATCTGTCTATCATGCTTACTACTCCTCCAGTTTCCAGATACCACCTGCGTTCACGGAACGATCAAACACTATTACTGATCCCACGCACCACCACCAAGTCAGCCGAATGCTCATTCTCTTATGCTGGACCATCCACCTAGAACACAGAAGACACATTAAAAAAGAAACTTAAAACCCAACTCTTTCCATCTTGAATCCATGTACATTTTGAGTAGCTACATTTCTTTTCGTTCATAATATCTTAATTACTGTTCCTTGTTAATTGTTATGATTTGTATGTTTCTTTTCTGTTGTAATAGCGCTCAATTGGTATTGTCCATCATTCTTCTCCCACACTTCAATGGTTTATCAAATTCAGATTCAGATCCAGAGGATTGCAACACAGGGACCTGGAATGCAAATACCATACGTAAGCATAACATAAAAGGCTTTTTAGTTTTTTTGTTTAATGGTAGTTGTATTGATAATAGCATATACCTTATCTACTTCTACACTAGACCAAAAAATCTGTCTCTTTCATTTGTTAGCCTCTGATTTGGGTAGGGTCGGCTCCTCTATTTAGAGCCGACCCTACCCAAATAAGAGGCTAACGAACGAAAGAGACATAATTTTCCGTCTACTTCTACACATACCAAGAGAAAGTGCTGTGTGTCCCAAGGGGTTTACAATGAAATAACGCCCCCTGTCGAATCTTATCTATTCATAAAATCAAACCAGGTTTATTATCGCTTTTAATTTAGAACTTATGCCACAACATGAAATGATTCACTTAGCCAGACTTTACGACTGTTTTTTAAACATTTCAATGTTTTGATTATAGGTTGGTCAGGAATTCGACCTGACATTTGGATCCCGAGTACAACAAACATTGGTGAGAACTATTCCTCTTTGATTAAAAAATTATGTAAAACTATAATTATTTTACTCACTCTGTATAAATGTCAACAGTTGTTTCACAGAACTCCTCTTTTACATCACGCCTACATATTCTGGAACACCCGTTGTCACGTCAGAGTTGAGAATTCTCGCACTTATATCTATTTATCTACTTTACACATTCATCCTCATTATTGTCAGCCCCCAGTCCTCTGGAACATTTGACAAGATGTAGTGATATATACTGGAAATTAGATCTGTAATGTTAATACTAGTTGAAGGAACGGGGCACAAAGACGATAGGACTGGGGTATATGTCTTGGTGGTTATGCTAGCTTGGAATAAAAAATAAAACAGCTACAAAAATTAATCGGATAAACAGAGAGACTAACGATGTCAGATTTTGTTTGGCAATAATAGTGAGTTTTTTAAAATTCACATATGATATCGGAATAAACCCATCAAGACATGAGGGGCCTTGGCAACCGCAGTCAAACACTTGAATTAAGCACACACAAAAGTCAACAAGCCTCTATTAAAATGTCCTCCCTTACTCCCGATGTAGGGAGCCAGCTTGAAGTTCGTTTGGTTAATGGATCGAACAATGCTACAGGTCGAGTCGAGGTATGGTACAACGGTGCTTGGGGAACAGTATGTGATGATGGATGGGATTTGAACGACGCCAATGTCGTATGCAGAATGCTAGGGTTCTTCAAAGCGTCAAGTGCACCAGTCATGGCTGAATATGGTCCGGGTTCTGGAGACATTCTTCTTGATGAAGTTGATTGTACTGGCTCAGAAAGCAGCCTCGAAGACTGCATCAAGAGTGACTTTGCAGTCCATAATTGTCATCACGGCGAAGATGCTGGTGTCATCTGTACAGGTATGATGTAACCCTGTTTTTGAAATTCGAAAAGTCGTAATATGTAATTCTTGTTTTTTCTCCATTATAATTATGTCTTCTCCTTTTCTCTCTCTTCACTCCTCGTCTCATTTCTTCCCTTTCCTTTCTCTCTGTCTCTATTTGTCTTTCTCTGTCTCCCCCTCTCTCTCTCTCTCTCTCTCTCTCTCGCTCTTACTCTATACTTACTCTATACTCTATATCTGCGTCTTTGTCTGATATCCTTGTTCTCTTCCATACACAAATCCTGAATTCATAATATATCATCAAATTTCAGATCCTATCTTTCTTGATGTTCGTCTTGTCGATGGTCCAAATAACAACACGGGAAGAGTTGAAGTGCTAGAAAGGGGATCTTGGGGAACTATCTGTGACGATGGCTGGGATGGTAAAGACGCTAATGTTGTATGCAGAATGCTGGGGTTCTTCGGTGCAGCATACGCATCTGTACAAGCTACATACGGTGAAGGGGTAGGAGAAATCTCACTCCGTAATGTGGATTGTATTGGGACAGAAATCAACTTGGGAACATGCTTCCACGACAGACCTGAATCTTTTGACTGTGCTCATGACGAAGATGCCAGTGCTGCCTGCTTGGTTCTTATCCCAGGTATAATGTGAAAGGAATAGAATAGTCCTTAAATCCATTAATATTCAATTGTGTCCTGCTTATATAGTTTGAAAACAAAATATCATGTGACTAAAATTATACATTTTATAGATATCTTAAGATAATTTAAAAAAAACGTAAGACATATTTGTTTTTGCTCGGTACACTTATTTAGTTTTTTTTAACATATATTTTAACACTTCCTTTTCATTGTAATTTGAACAGATGATTCTGTGAGCTCGGCATCATCCTGGAATGGTAAGTAAAATGAGTAAAAGAGACTCGAATAGCTGATAGATGCCCGCTCTACTGCTTACCTCTTTACTTATTGATGATAAAAGAGGTTGATTTCCTGACACTTAACAGTGTTAAGCAGGAATCTGCCGGGATACTCGTCTCGTTTAATCATACAAGTATGATATATAAATATCAAAGATTCAAGAAAGAACGGGAATGTGGGGGGGGGGGGGGGGGAAGAAGTCCCATTTCCATCTGATACATCAGGGCATGCATACTGCTTTCTTAAAGACAAATATTTTTTTCTTCTTCTCGAATCCTAGTGTTTGTATTATGGATTGGGCTCATATCTGTTATCGGAAGATAAAACTAATCAGTATACTGTAATTTAAATGTTAATTCCGATATATCTGTTATCTGAAGATAAAACTAATCAGTATACTGTAATTTAAATGTTAATTTTTACATTGATTATGAAAATGAAGGACAATTCCGGCTACAATGTCCAGACCTCGTTTCAAGCACGGATAAAGGTCTTATTACATCATCTACTGTCAACATAATCCCACACGTCGATGGTTCCGTTGACAATCAGAAATTATCTGTTGGCTGTACGTATACTTCACATGATGTATTTTACTACGGAGACACTTGGGTTGCCTGTGCTGCACGAGATGATCTGGGAAACTATGTGACATGTGATTTCATGGTCACCGTCAAAGGTATGTAACAAAAAGAAAGAATTACAACAACAGTAGTATAACATTGTATCAGCGATTCAGTAGACACTCGTGTTATTATAGAGTACTTCAGGAATTGATTATTGTTATACTTCGGTATAAATAGAAAAATCACGTATTCTTTCTCAAGGTCCACACTCTGTTTCATGAACACAAGAATTCCTGAATCATAATTGCCAGTGCTGCAAAGTTTACAGTTCGGTTAAGGCCAAATAATTTTTTTTACATGTTTAGCGTCCTGTTTTTTTCGAAAAATAGGAAGGAGGAGGCCCTTTTCTTTCTTTCAAAATGGCCGCTCAAAATGGCCGCTCGATACTTTTCCCTGACAGTCGGGCTATTTTTCAAGATGACGGCCAACCCTTTTAAAAAAAAAAAATCAGAATTAGATCCATTTTAGCAGTGTTTTTCATGTTTTTTTCAACAAAAAAAATTCAAAAAAAAAATTCCCCCCCAAAAAAAATTCAAAAAATTTCAAAAAAAAAAATAAAAAAATAAATAAATAGGATTTGGCCCCCAAAAAGGAAGAGGGCGAGGACGCTAAACATGTATATTTTTTTAAATGGCCTAATGTACAAGTTTTATTGGCAAAATATTTCGTTGAATTCCTCTACCTTTATATAACTAATTAGAATCCAAAATCCTTGATCAACTTTATGATTGTTGTTTGTTTGTTTGCAATGTTGGGGTCTGTAATTAGTAAAGATACTTTAAGATCCAGTCAGTTACACTACATTGCCCACCCCCCCCCCCACATACAATAAAGAAATCCCCAAAACATACATGTTCTCCATTTTAGTTTATGGTGTTGGATGGTTCAGCCACTGAGAGGAGTCACTGGCATCATGGGTAGGGTAGGGTACTACACCGGTAATTAAGTGATGCGAGAACATACGGCCATAGTGTAAGAGGATATGTGGCAGGGGTCGTTAAACTTTTTTTTAACACTTTGAACTTGGCCGTTTTCTGTTTTTGGGGATTACCTTTCCACCATTACATACATTTGTGCCGCAATTTGGGGTCCAACCCACCTTATTTTTATTTTGTTCCAAAATTTGTATTTCAAGATGGCTACCCTCCCTGTTTGGGCTGCCCCGACGTAACTTCCACCACGGACCAAGGTCTTCGTACATCTTCCCACATTACCATCAACCCTCATGCATCAGACATTACTGATCTTAGTCTGCCTGTGATCTGCTCTCATACATCCAGTGATGTCTTCCAGTTTGGAGATACCAATGTTACCTGTAATGCTACAGATGAATCAGGAAACATTGGCAGGTGTATGTTCGTGGTTACAGTACAAGGTATGATACAACTTGCAATGCTATCTGTTCGTTCAGGTATCGTGAATAAATAAGCAAAACGAGGAAGTTGAACTAAACATTCAGTTAGGATTTAAGATGCTACGTACACTATAAGTTCTAATGTTTTAGTTTTGACTTGTTTTCGCAGACAACGAGCCTCCTCGCTGGGAATGCCGTGACCAAACATCCATCGCGGATCAAGACCTTGCTAGCATTGCTTTCATCTCATCTGTGTCAGACAACGTAGATCCCAATCCGTCCATTAACTGCTCTCACACATCCATAGATCTTTCTCATCTTGGAGACACTAGCATCACATGTGAAGCTAAAGATTCTTCTGGAAACATTGCCGTCTGTACTTTTATGTTTACTGTACAAGGTAATGACCATTGCGACCAGGCTTTGTAAATGTATCTATACCTGAAAATACACTAATTCTATCATAATGTTTTTATAAATATTATTATTACTATTACCTCCTGCATAACCAATATCTCCACGGCGAAAGATGGAGTAAGTTCCAGAAGATATCCCTGGCTATACAAATACCTGTACCTTCTTTCTGAAAAGGTCATTTTAGTGGCTTGTCATGGATTTTTAACCCTGTAAAACCTATGTAATTTCTTCATCGCTTACCGTTACCCGATGCGAAGCTGATGTTTGACCGAATTTTTGTTGTTTCTTGATTCTTGGGGGGGGGGGGGGGTGGCTGTAAAGCTCTCCACTCCCTAATCCCCATTTCTGCTTCATATGCCTACGTTAATTATTTAATCTCTCTCTCTCCCTTTCTCTGGGTAAAAAAAAATCAACAGACCCTTGTATGGTTCGTGATCCGTGTATCAATGGTAAATGTAGCTATATCGGATCAGGACCATACCAATGTGACTGCTATGATCAATACGAGGGTACTCGTTGTGATGTCATCCCTCACCCCACTCGTGAGTCTTTACTAGTTTTCAAAATATTGTGTCTATCAAGTAAAAATGTAATCGAATGAAATCCGTTCAATAACAATGAATTTTGTAACTGGTCGATTAGATTTTGGACGTGGCAGGTTAAATAGCGGGTGCCAGTAATAAATAATAACATGGAAGTCATATTGGTTGTTTTGTTCTAGGTTTGATCAAAAATTTCCTGGCATGGATGTTCATCAATTTACATTGTTGAATAGTTATGGTAACTACCTTAAAAATGATGTTCATGTTATTTTATCTGAGCAGAAAAATAAGTGAGTAGATATGAAATAGGCTGAATGCATTTGAACTGTTCCATGGGCAATGATAAGCTTAACCTCATAATCTTTGTGTACTAGATGGCTGCCTTATGGCCACTGACCTATGATAAGAACAATAATATTGATGTATAATAATATGGATTTATATAGCGCTTAATACGAAATACCGTCTCTAAGCGCTTTACAGATATTATGACTCCGGTCATCGTATTCTTCATTCACATACATTGTACACCATCTCCACTCCCTTGGGAATACTCCTACTGTATGGTCACTGTAAGGGCATATGGCAGTTACTAACACAAAAGCCTTTTTATTTCATTCTATGAGGTCCCCATTTCTCTCCTGGGTACGGAGTGGCAAATGTAGATTAATACTTTACGAAAAGACATTAGTGCCGTGTCGAGCATCGAACCCACGACCTTTGAATTTCAAGTCAAGTGCTTTTAGACCGCTCGACTATGGCACCTCTTACTCCTGTGATCCCAACTGTTTTCGATATACAGATCCTGTTGAAGTAGCAGGTCATCCTGAGAGCCACACGGTGAAGATGGGCACCCCCGTAGAGTTCACATGCAGCTTCAGCAATGCTAAATCTTACATGTGGTACAAAGATGAGCACCCTGTACCCAGCATGAGAAATCAGCATACTCTACGTATACCATCAGTTTCCGAAAGTGATATTGGATATTACTTCTGCCGAGGCTTTGGAATTGGACCATATAAAGACACGAAGATGGCATCTATCTACATTGAAGGTGTGGTTAAAGAATGTCATGTTTTGCTCTTATCTTTCCATCAATATGCTTGCCCTATACTGCAGGACCTGAAATCTGTTTTATTTTATTTATTTATTTTTACATATTATTGACTGGTAGGGTATGTAATATAACAATTTTTGGATCGCTGAAGGGGTTATATTTTCCAAAGTAGTAATATGATCAAAAAATATATTAAAAAAGGAAATGCATGCATTATATTTTTCTTTGGATTTAGGCAGGCCCCCTCAACTGCATTCTGGTTGACTTTGCGTTAAATGCGTGCAGCTGAGACACACGCGCAGCCTTATTCACTTTTGTACGCGTTATACCCACGAATAAAGAAGGAAAAGTGTTGTTATCGGTACTCAACTCAATGGTACTCAACAGATCGTTGTGTCATGTGACACATTTTAAGCAAATTGGATACTTGCTAAAAAAAACAAACACCATAGCTTATATCACAATATAGTGTGCACACATCTTTTTCCGAAGACCGGATTGGTATACCTTTTATGCAGTGTATATTGAAGGATGGTATATTATTTCAAGGCAACTCAATTTTGAAAGAGTCATTTAAAAATAATACGAAAAAATTATAAGTAAAAGGCAATAACGATGTTCCGGAAACTACAACATTAGGGACTTTTAGATTGAGTGGACGAGAACACGACGAACGCCGACTGATCATGCGTGTCAACGTACTCAACTGCCCATGTTGACTACAATTAGAAATCTTTTAGATTGCACTCGGCGATATACATGCATGCAGTAAATAAAACTATGAATATGATGGACAAAGAAAGAGGACAAATATACAGTTCCTCATTCTACCCTCAACAATAGGCCATTTTCGTAATGTAACCAAATTTAATGCATACGTCTTTGTGAAGTGCCTCAATACAGATTATTTCATTCAATAGACAGAATCCGAACTGCATACATTAATTGTTGCCAGGTTGGACAACATGATGGCTTGACCTACCTAGCAACACTTAATATATGTAGTTGCATTCTGACTATTGAAATACTATTATTCCTATCAGGTGAATGAAATAATTTGTATTGAGGCACTTCACAAAGACTTAATATGCATTAAATTTGGTTACATTACGAAAATGGCCTACTGCTGTGGTAGAACATCCCTTCACTGCTATTATGTAAAAATGTGTAGAACAGGTGAATAAGCATGTGACACCTGTTCTACACATTATTACATAAATAGCATGGAAGGGATGTTCCTTTGTCTACCTGAGGAACTGTATATTTTATGCGCACGCGGCATATACTAGTACCGTACTAGATTTAGGAAAATCAAGGTTGACGCATTCTCGATCGCCGACTAAGACGACGTGACGCATGCGCAGTGCCTTAAAATGACGTCACACGTTGCAGTCAAAGCTGTTGACGTGCAAATCTAAAAGTCCCTAATATACAAATAACGACCCAGAGTGCAATAGCGGTGAATGCGGTACGCGCGAGGTTTCTTTAGATTGGTGCCGCTCTGAGCCATTTTATAAACGAATATAATATTTTGACGTTTCTCTCTATGCAGATTTGACCAATATCCACCTTTCTAATTTAAAATTCAATCTCACTTCGAATGATGACCTCTCTGACCGTACTTCTCTCAGCTATCTCGAGATATCGCTTAACATCGGCAATTATGTAAGTTCTAAGAAATATAAGAAAGATTGAATACATGGACAAAACATGCACACAGATATGACCACAATACATCGGATCAACGCTAGGAAGACTTATATTAAAATATGCCTTAAAACAGTGTACAGTGTAAACCCGATGACTGCGATTTTAAATGTTTGAAAGATCAAAGGGCGTTTGATATTTAATCAACGTTTGAAATTATTTTGTCTTTATTAGCCTACCACCACCTTTTATAGAAAAATCAAATAAAAAATATTCAAACAATTCTAATAAAATACAAATATACACTGTCTTGAGAGGTTCTGGTTAAAACTATGCGCAAGAGGTGACTCTAATAGCATTTGCTTCGGGGCTGTCCCTCAGCAAATGGTACTATTGGAGTCACCGAGGCTCATAGTTTTAACCAGTACCTCGAAAAGAAGGCAGGGTATATTTTTTTTAGACCATGCATCAACAAAATATATTTTTCAGATTTAATTTTTTAAACATTTGGAATTTTAATAACATTTATTAAATTATTAAAAAAAACATTTTACAGCTCTAATAAAAAAATTAAATTAAAAGAGAATTATCATTTTGTTTTTCAACTCCCAAATACTACTTTTTCAGAGCAACCTTAAAATGGTTAAAATAGTTCAGGTTACGTGAGGAGCTCTCAACCAATCAAAAATCAATAAAAAAATTTATGCAGGATATAATATAAAATTATTGAATTACATGAAATGTATGTGACAACTGAAATATAAAATATACATAGATATAATTGAAAACTTGAAAGTATGGAGGTAAATCAAAGAATCAAGATAAATATAGAAGCCAATTTTAACAAACATGAATGCTTGAGTCTACAGCAGCCGGGAGGGGGAGGAGGGGGGGGGGGGGGGCACATGAGGCTGTTATAGGAGTAGGTAGGGGGAGGGAGTGTTACGTATAAAGATTCTATGTACCTCTTATGTGTATATAGTATTTTCAAAATAGAAATAAATGTATTTAAAACAAAATCGTATTACATCATGATACTTTTCGTGTTTTTGATAAGGTTCTTGAAGGTCTTAAGAATGATGCCTCTTTCAAGGACCTGTCACCATTGGTGGTATGTAGCAACCTCACCAGACGAGGAGGTGTGATTGCTGACCTGAATGTCTACATCAAGAATTCCAAACTGACTGCATTTCATGAACTAGATCTTGTTAGTCAAGCTCTTTACATATTGGCTGAAAATTCGAATGGCTTTCTCGATGTAAGCAGTGTAGAGATTGAGAACACAGGTAAGGATTAGTCATGGATCATCTTTTTTTATTGGGAGTCAATCTTGACTTTTACTAACAAACTAATAATCCCCAAATAGATTGGCACAGAATCATTTTACGACTGTTAAAGATTACACATAATTATTGTCTGTATCTTTTATTGTCATAGACAATTTATAGTAATTCGGAGATGAGCCAGAGAAATATGCCTTTTAAAGAATGTGATTGTGAGTAGTTTTGCTGTACGTTTAGAGTCTTTATAATATTGTTCGTATAAAACAGTTTCTGTATTTTAGAATGACTTAATCCAGTTTTTAATAGAAATGCTAAACCATCATCAGAACTCAAAACTGTCTCATTACATCAGAAACGAAAATGGTATTACGTTAAGAGCTTGCTCCTTATATCTTTTTTTTTTTTTTAAATATTCATGGATCCCAGCGATTTGTAAGAATATGACATGGATGTCATCGCGTTTTGGACTAATCAGTTTCCTAGAGGGTGAGAACGGAACATGGTCGAACTCAACTGAAGTATGTCCATTCAACACAGCAAACGGTAAATTAGGATACTTCTCTTCCCTTTAAGAAATTTAAATGTAATTAGTAATTCTGAGTCTAATTGATTTGAATTAACAAATGAGCCACTCTTAGAAAATGTATTCCCAAAAATTGCACAGAAGAAATTTGCATCAATAAAATTATATGAACATAAGAGGATTTAAGTTTTTACAGCTTCATATTTGTATTTTCTAATTATATGCTTTTGTCATCATTATTCATATGATTTTATCAAGCAACTTCCCATACAAAAATAATGAAATCCTTATTTAATGAATTTCATTAATGGTATAAGGGATAGTAAATTGTTGTGAATTTGTCTGACAGCTGACCAACCAATCGGTCGTACCATATGCGTCGGTGATCTGATTTCACAGAGTACATGGCTTCCCGATCCCATGGATAACTGTGGACAATTCAGAAATGTCGGAGATTTACTTAGCCAGCTTTCAACGGTAATTTAAATATTGAGATATCTATTTCAGCCGTTTCAAGAAAATTGTCTTGAATTGTCACAACACTGTCACGGGAGCACTCATTATGAATTATTAGAGACTGAAAACCATCAATTTTCATCAAGCCTATTTCAATGTAGCTTTGAATTTTATTATTTATTGGACACATCCTAGAAATGAAATAGCATTATAACATCCCAATGAATGAAATAGAAATGAACATTCTGTGATAAGTTGTTATATATGCTCAGAAATGAAAACAGGTGGGCTAATACCTTCTCTGAATGAAGGCAGAATGTACCTAGGCTCTTTTGTGAGCAATATTTAGAGATTAAAAAGGGGATTCTGCCATAAAAATGGACACCCCTGGTCCCGTAGAAAGGAGACGGTTGTAGAGACATCTATACTATCCATTTTGTTTGAATGACTCTATAGAACAATAATGCACTCAACTGTGTTCTGATGGTTGTAAGACAAGAAATATTTTCAGCTAAATTACGAAATCAACTACCATCATTTGATATAATTTTATCAGCTGTAAAACGTTATTATGAAATGGAAAAATATATATACCAAACAAATCTCAGAGAGAATAAACTAAAAAAGAAATGGTTTCACTTTAGAAAATATTTTGAGAGTGTTGGAAATGTGCTAACATAAACATGATCATGTATTTTATGTTTGGTGTTTTTTAAAAATTATATATTTAAAGTACTAATTTTGTCATAAATGTTTGTTTTTATCTGCCACAAAAGTTTTTGGCCGTGATGATTATTATCTGTGTCAAGCCATTATGTATGGAAATTATTTCTTTAATTATATGTATATGATATATGGATGTTCTGTATATGATGAAATTTGTTTTGAAAATAAAGAACCCTGTGGAAGGGGAAAAAAAATAAATAAATAAAAGCAAACACAATCGGACTAATATTCATATCGTTTGTTCCAAGGTTACCGTTTCAGATGAGAATGTTGCTAAGCTCAGTGAAGACGTCAGTTTGGTGACAAGTAACACTGGTGATATCTCCTCTGATGACATTTTTTCGATTGCAAATATAGTTTCAAATATAAGTGCTCGAACGAACTACAGTGAAAAGGTATTTCTTAATTTAGTCTCGCGAATACAACACTTCAAAAATATGTTATGTAATGTGTCTCTTAGTTTTAATTCAATTTGTTGTGAAACGTGTCCAGTAAATCCATACATATACAATTATTACGACTCAAGTTTTTGTCTTTTCACTGGCCAACTGAACCCGGCTATATTACTAAAATAAAGACCATTTAATTGTAGGCCATTCATTGTGAATATTTGAATTTGCCATTTTGTTTAAGATCTTGTCAAATCCGACTGTCCAAATGTTATCCCCAATCACACCTGTGTTTGAAGTTTTCATTTCATACTAATAATGCTACTGCTTTCAGAATATGTAAGTGAATGTATTTACTTGATTTTGAATAACAGGTTACTGCATCTATTGTTGCCATAGTGAGTAACATCGCTGATGTTGACACAGAAACACTTGAATCAGCATCAGCCTCTGTCAGTGATGTCGTAAAAGTATTTGAGCAGCAGATCAAAAGTGTACCTATAGAGGACGGTGACAATTTCAGCTTTCAACAACCAAATATTGCCGTGCAGGTACGTAGAAGTTTTGAACTATGTCGAATAAAACGCTGATTATATCTGAATTTTGTCCCCTTGGCCGGGCAGGAAAGACCAACATTTATGTAGTAACTGTGATTATAGTTGACATTTACTAACGCTCCTCAAAATAAGATATCTGTCAATGACACGTGCAAAGATGAAATTCATTTCCCCACTAGTATACTATCACCAAAGCAACGTTCTTATTTGACTGTTTTACCAATTCTGTTTTTCTGAACTTTTCAGGTCCAAAGCGTACCTACCGATGTCATCTCAAATGGTCTAGTCCTCTCGTTAACAGGAGACACCAATTCTGATCTGACGAAATTTGACACCAACATCCAAACTTCAAATGAAAATCAAGCTGAAGCTACAAAACCAGATACCATTGCTGTTGTGAACATACCACCTGCGATTTCTTTCGCTTTACCATTGATATCTGGAGGAAGTTCTAATACGAACGGCTTTGTTCGCGTGATCTTCAGTGTCTTTTCCACACCAGCCCTTTTCATTTCTAAATCATTGAAGAACTCGAGTGTAGGAACTAACCAATCTGCTAACACACCTGTAATATCACTGAGCATCGGGGACGAGAAAATAGAAGATCTGATAGAACCCATCAATTTTACTTTTACCCCGATAGAGGTAGGCCCTTACGGAGTTTCATTTTCAAAGTTACTGCATAGATATAAATAAATGAGTATGAGTTTGAGTATTATTTCCAATGTGTTATAATTATTTCGGTTTTATAATCAATTTCACAGTATACAGTGTATCAGACAAGGACATGTTATTAGCATTAGTTGACCACCTATGAAAACAACTATAGTCGTGTGCACTATGTTCTCAATTTGAATTTTCTCACAAGACTGGTCTGACGAACCCGTCGTGTTCATACTGGGATATTGGATGTAGTAACTGGTCACAAGAAGGGTGTCAGCTTCTTTCAACATCTGGCATTATCTCATCCAATGATAACAACTGGGATCCTCCATCTGATGAGAAGGAGAAGATCGTTTGTGGATGTAACCATCTCACCAACTTTGCCGTCCTTATGGTAAGATTTTTCTTTCTTTCATAGTAGTATGTATTTTATTTTCAAAGCACGTCGCCTGGGAATCACATGGGATTGCAAGATCTCCACCTGTATATATTTTTTTGTATATTTTGTTGTTGTAGTTAATTGATATAGTTTATATGTTATATAGCCCTATGTTTTGGTTGTGTAAAATGAGCTGGATAATAAAATTGTGATAATTTATTCTATTTGTAGGATATTCCGAGAGAGGAACGGTCTTCTGAGCAATCTAACTCCAGTATGTTGGTAATGTATGGTCTATTGCAAACATGTGCTCTGGTGAAGCTATGATTTTCTTAAGAATGTACATTTAAAGACAAATGTAATGCCAGGGCTAAATTTGTGTCATTATCTCTGATAATATAATGGTTCTTTTGGAGTTTTAGGTAATTTTGAAGACAAATATCATATTAAGAGAAAGGGACGTAGTATAGAAGGACCTTTGTACAACCAACACTATGATGTGTTTTCACAATAAGGAGGTATCCAAGCTACCTTTGTACCAAACTTTTAGGACTTTTATCTTAATTTACCGCTAAATTATCCCACTTTGAAGGAAAAATATGCATCTAAACAATTAAACAAGGTATGACTTCAAAAAGTTTCTCTTGTTTTACACTCCTTCATTTAGGATGTGTAATATATCATTGAGATAATGCTTGTGTTAGGGAGATATACACATACATAATACTAACATTGCTAATCCTTTGTTTAAGTTTGAAATTTCAGCAGGAGGATGTGGCGGATGTGACAAAAACAGATGTGAAAGGACATTTCAAAACTTGAACATTAAATAAAGGCCATAACCCTATCACTGCTTATTGAACAATCCGCACAAATCAAATCGACAATCGGAAAAGGAATTTGTTTACTTCATAACATAATTTTATTTTATTTCACAGACCTTCTCTTTTACATCATTATGAATTGCCGTAGTTATCTAGTTATCTAGTTATCTACATTACCAATTCGTCCTCATTATTGTCAGCCCCCAGTCCTCTGGAACATTTGACAAGCTGTAGTGATATATACTGGAAATTAGATCTGTAATGTTAATACTAGTTGAAGGAACAGGGCACAAAGACGATAGGACTGGGGTATATGTCTGGATGGTAATGCTAGCTTGGAATAAGAAATGAAACAGCTACAACAATTTATCGGATAAACAGAGAGAATAACGATATTAAGTTTTGTTTTTTATGATTTTTTTAAAATCCACATATCGGGAGATAATTAACCGGTCAAGACATAAGGGGGCTTGGCAACACTAGTCAAACGCTTGAATTAAGCACACACAAAAAAGTCAACGAACCTCAATTTAAATGTCCTCCCTTACTCCTGATGTAGGGAGCCAGCTTGAAGTTCGTTTGGTTGATGGACCAAACAATGCTACAGGTCGAGTCGAGGTACGGTACAACACCAGCAGTGCTTGGGGAACAGTATGTGATGATGGATGGGATTTGAACGACGCCAATGTCGTATGCAGAATGCTAGGGTTCTTCAAAGCGTCAAGTGCACCAGTCATGGCTGAATATGGTGCTGGTTCTGGAGACATTCTTCTTGATGAAGTTGATTGTACTGGATCAGAAAGCAGCCTTGAAGAATGCATCAAGAGTGAATTTGGAGTCAATAATTGTCATCACAGCGAAGATGCTAGTGTCATCTGTACAGGTATGGTGTAACCCTGTTTGTGACATTCAACAAGTCTTAATATGTTAGTCTTGTTTTTTTCTCCATATCTTCTCCATATCCCTCTCTTCACTGCTTCCCTTTCCTTTCTCTCTCTCTGTCTCCCTCTCTCGCTCTTACTCTATACTTACTCTAAACTCTACTTATATTTATATCTGTATCTCTGTCTGATATCCTTGTTCTCTTCTATACTCAAAACCTGAATTCATAATATATCATCAAATTTCAGATCCTATCTCTCTTGATGTCCGTCTTGTCGATGGTCCAAACAACAACTCGGGAAGAGTTGAAGTGCTAGAAAGGGGATCTTGGGGAACTATCTGTGACGATGGCTGGGATGCAAAAGACGCTAATGTTGTATGCAGAATGCTGGGGTTCTTCGGTGCAGCATATGCACCTGTGCAAGCTACATACGGTGAAGGGGTAGGAGACATCTCACTCCGTAATGTGGATTGTATTGGGACAGAAATCAACTTGGGAACATGTTTCCACGATAGACCTGAACCTTTCGACTGTGCTCATGACGAAGATGCCGGTGCTGCCTGCTTGGTTTTTATCCCAGGTATAATGTGAAGAGAATAGAATAGCCCTTAAAATCCATCAATATGCAATTGTGTCCTGCTTGTATAGTTTGAAAACAAAATATCATGTGACTAAAATTATACATTTTATATATATCTGAAGATAATTTTAAAACAATGTAAGACATATTTTTTTTTTGCTCGGTACACCTATATAGGTTTTTGTTACATATATTTTAACACTTCCTTTTCATTGTAATTTGAACAGATGATTCTGTGAGCTCGGCATCATCCTGGAATGGTAAGTAAAAAGAGAAAAAAAGAATAGCTGATAGATGCCCGCTCTACATCTTACCTCTTTACTTATTGATGATAAAAGAGCTTTGATTTCAGGACAATCAACAGTGATAAGCAAGAATCTGCCTGGATAATTGTCTCGTTGAACCATAAACGTATGATATATTTAAATATCAACGATTCCAGAAAGAACGGGAATAGGGGGGGGGGGGGAAGGAGTCACATTGGCCAACTGATACGTCAGGACACGCATTCTGCTTTCTTAAGGAATAATACTCTCTTTCGAATCCAAGTGTGTGTATATTATGAATTGAGCTCATACTATCTGTTATCACTGTAATTTAAATGTTGATCTTTACATTGATTATGAAAATGAAGGAACATTCTGGCTACAATGTCCAGACCTCGTATCAAGCACGGATAAAGGTCTTATTACATCATCTACTGTCATCATATCTCCACGCGTGCATGCTGGTTCCGCTGACAATCAGGACTTCTCTGTGGGCTGTACGTATACTTCACATGATGTATTTGACTATGGAGACACTTGGGTTGACTGTGCTGCACGAGATGATCTGGGAAACTATGTGACATGTGATTTCAAGGTCAACGTTACAGGTACGTAACAAAAAGGAAAAATTACAACAGTATTATAAATTCGACCAATCAAATGGCTAGATTTCTAAAGAAAGGTATATAGATAAGTTCTATTTGCAAAATATTATGTTGAATTCCTCTAGATCTACAATTAGAATCCAAAATCCTTTATCAACTTTATGATTGTTGTTTGTTTGTTTGCAATGTTGGGGTCTGTAATTAGTAAAGATACTTTAAGATCCAGTCAGTTACACTACATTGCCCAACCCCCCCCCCCCACACACAATAAAGAAATCCCCAAAACATACATGTTCTCCATTTTAGTTCATGGTGTTGGATGGTTCAGCCACTGAGAGGAGTCACTGGCATCATGGGTAGGGTAGGGTAGGGTACTACACCGGTAATTAAGTGATGCGAGAACACACGGCCATAGTGTAAGAGGATATGTAGGAGGGGTCAGTTTAAAACTTAAACAAAAAACACGTTGAACTTGGCCGTTTTCTTTTTTTGGGGTTACCTTTTCACCATTTCATACATTTTGTGCCCCCAGAATTAGGCCACCACTCACTTTATTTGTGGTTGTCCCGAAATTTGTATTTCAAGATGACGACCCTCCTCGTTTGGACTGCCCTGACATAACTTCCACCACGGACCAAGGTCTTCCTACATCTTCCCACATCACCATCAACCCAAGGGCATCAGACAACACTGATCCTAGTCCGTATGTGATCTGCTCTCATACATCCCGTCATGCCTTCTACTTTGGAGATACCGATCTTACCTGTATTGCTACGGATGAATCAGGAAACATTGGCATGTGTATGTTCGTGGTTACAGTACAAGGTATGATACATCTTTAAATGCTATATGTTCGTTCAGGTACTGAATAAGTATTAAGCAAAAGAAGGAAGTTGATCTTCACATTAATTTAGGATTTTGGATGCTATACGTACAGGCCGGATCCAGGATTTTCCAATAGGGGGGGGGGGGGCGGAAATTTGAAAAATGGCGCAGACCATTATTTCAACTCAACATAGTGTTACGAATTTAGATATGTCCGTATCATGTGCTCAGTTCATTATTATTTCGCTATAATATTATTGCTTGCTGTGCAAGTCAAACTTGTCCTTCGGTAGATTTACGACGTTGTTTTTCGTCCTCGAGTAATTCTTGCAGTTCGATTGCGTAAGCCCAGGGCCACGCTCGTCTAGAGAATCTGTCCTCGTCTTACGTAACGGCAAGGACAGATACTCAGTCGCGTGCGGCCTCCGACTGACCCCGAGCGGAGGCCAGACTTTGTCCTCAGTTTGAGGACAGACTCTGCCCTTTAGCTCGAGGTCGGGTTGTGTCCTTGCTGCTACAAAACAGCTCCCTATATAAAGCCAGGGATTCTAAAATCTCGAGAGTTCGGACTTCAGACTTCTAGCTTAGACAGACTTCTGACTGACTTCTTGAGACTTCTCCTCGTACTCCTTTCTGCCGTTTTTCGTAATTCACTGAACCTGACTGTATACCAAGTTGTCATTATTGGAAGTAATAAACATCGAATGGAACTGAAACTCACGAATACTCCATTTCTTCTGTTGAATTTATATTGCATACACGCATGAGCTCGAGTGAGAGAGATATTGAGCGAGAACTGAACGAGAGCAGTCTGAATTAAACACTTGTAATCAAATTTCGTTACACTGGTGGCAGCGGTGGGATTTTGGACTTCAACACGCTAAGCGAAATGGCAAGGAGGCGTAGAAAAACAGATTTAGAACAGGAGATCAGGGAGCTCCAATTGGAGCTTGATGAAGCACGACTGCAAATCCAACACTCTAGCGAGACAGATGCACAACCTTTGGAAGAGGAGGTTCAAATTCGCAGCCCCGCTCAACCAAGGGCTGCTATTCAGCTACCCCATCAGGAACATTTTGATGGAACACGCCCGTGGGAAAGCTTCATCTTTTCGTTCCAGAACATTGCGGAAGCGTGTGGATGGAACAAAAACGAAAAACGATTTCGAATACTGGCTTGCTTGCGAGGTAATGCAGCAGACTTCGCTTTCCAACAACTCTCCTCTGACGTCACAGGGGACTTCGATAACCTGGTAGCGGCGCTAAATGAGCGATTCGAAAATAGGAAAACACCGGCCTCATTCGTCTCCCAGTTGGAGGCAAGGCGTCTTGGACCGAAGGAGACTATTGCCGATTATGCCGCCGACGTAAGAAGACTGACAACTTTCGGTTATCCGAGTGCCGACGTCGACACAATAGAAACCATTAGCACAAGACATTTTCTACGAGGAATCGGAGACCAAAACATGACATTAACAGTGGGAATGCACGAACCTAAATCCCTGCAAGAGGCCCGTGAGATAGCCGAGCGGTATTTCAATCTGCGAGAGGAGAGTAGCCCCAATGCCTACCGGCCGATTAGGGCCCTGTCATCCTCGCAATCGGTTAGCGTTACCGAAGGCCGGCTTGCTGATTTTGAACGTCGCGTTATGTCCATTGACGAAAGACTGAACACACTCTCATCCCTCTTAAAGGATCAGGCTGAAAGAAATTCGAGAGATGCCAATACAACGGGAGATGGACGGCAAGGTAGGCGAGGGAATGATGACAGAGGGCGTCAACCTCGAGGTGGTAGACCCATGCGCAACAGATGTTACGAGTGTGATAGGGAGGGGCATTTAGCTAGGAACTGCCCTAATCCTCGTTATGACAACCGCCGCTATCAACAACAACAACCATTCGTCCCACAAGCCTGGGCACCTCCACAGTTTGTGCCGCCACAGCCCCAGCCAAAGACACAGCAGCAAATGTGGGTACCACAGGCACCACCACCACCACAGCATCAACATCATGTACAACATCCCCAGCCTATGCATCAACGGCAGGCCAACCCCTTACCATCCGTGGATAATGTCGAGGCGGGAAACTAGCTGGGGCCGATCCAATCGACCAGGTTTCGGCCCTTAAAACTACAGTGAGTAAGGCATCGAGAATAATTAAACTCGTCAAAAGTACAGGGCTTTCGGCTTTTATTGGAGCAAATGTTCATGGTGCAAACGCTACATTTTTGGTCGACTCGGGCGCAGCAGTGACTGTTATTTCCTCTAAAGTTTACGAAGGTATAGACATAGATTTGCGTAAACATCTTAAAGAGCCGACAGAGGACATTCAACTTCAAGCAGCGAATGATGAAATACTACATATCTATGGGACTATTGATCTCGACATCACACTTGAGGACATGACATTCAAGTGGAATGTCTTCGTGGCTGATATAAGTGACGAGGGCCTTCTCGGATTTGACTTCATGCACCACTTTAACTTTATTCTTGAACCTAGACGTGGGCTTCGTTTGAATGATCGCTTGTTTCAATGCGAAATTATTTCTGACTCGAGCTGTAATGTGATAGCCAAGCGTGACGTCATTATCCCTGCTAACTCTGAATTCATCATCGCCGGCAGTGCTAATGTCACTAAACTAAAAGGCGATCTTCCATACGGATTGATTGAACCCATGAATAGCGGAGAAACATTACAACCAATCCATGTAGCAAGCTGCGTGATCGATATCAATAGGAATGATATCGATTTGCCTGTACGCGTAGCCAACACACTTGGGGTGGATATTCATGTGCATGCCGGAACCAAGCTCGCAAACCTACAGCTTATAGACAAGGTGTACCATGAAGGTAGTGACGGAGCTAAGCCTCTTCCTCGAAATATTAATGTTGTAAAAGGTAGCTCTGCATCAGGGAAACCTAGGTTTGAGGATTGGTCTGAAGACTTAAAGTCGTTGTATAATCGGAGCTGCGGAGAGTTGTCATCGACACATGAGAGGGACAAATTAGCTGAGCTACTCGATAAGCATAAATCGACATTTGCAGTTTCTCCAAATGACTTAGGACGAACATCATTGGTTAAGCATGCAATCGACACAGGTAATGCCTCACCCATTAAGCAGAGGCCACGACGCCCGCCTCGAGCTTTTGTGGAAGAAGAGGAGGAGATAATTCAGACACAGTTGCGATCAGGGGTTATCCGCGAATCCACGAGCGCCTGGTCGAGCCCGCTGGTGTATGTAAGGAAACGAGATGGATCAACAAGGCCATGCGTAGATTATCGCAAATTAAATGAAGTGACGACGAAAGATGCTTATCCACTTCCTCGTATAGAGGACTGTCTTGATTGCATAGGAGGTGCTAAAATCTTTAGCACTTTAGATTTACAATCCGGATACTGGCAAATAGAACTAAAGGAGGAGGACCAGCAGAAGACGGCATTTAGCACTAGAAGCGGACATTACGAGTACATCACGATGCCGTTTGGATTATGCAATGCCCCGAGCACGTTCGAGCGGGGTATGGAGCTTCTCATGAAAGGTTTGCAATGGAAAACCTTAATCCTTTATCTCGACGATATCATCGTTCTCGGTTCCACCTTTGAAGAGCATCTCGAGAGGCTCAATGAGGTACTCTCTCGTCTTGGCCAAGCAGGGCTAAAACTAAAACCAAGCAAATGCAACCTAGTGAAGTCGGAAGTATGCTATCTGGGGCATGTAGTGAGCGCAAAAGGCATCAAGCCCGACCCCGACAAGATAGATAGGATTCACCAATGGCCTACACCCAAGACGGTAACCGATGTTAGATCTTTTATCGGTCTTTGCTCTTACTACAGGAGATTTATCCGTGGATTCTCATCTATCGCTTCACCCTTGACTCGCCTCATGGAAAAATCTCGCACATTTGAGTGGGACAGTGAATGTCAATCTGCCTTCGATGAGCTGAAACTAGCGATCACGAGTGATAATTGCATGGCATATCCAAATGATGAGGGTATGTTCATATTAGATACTGATGCGTCAGCTACAGGCGTCGGTGCTGTTTTGTCCCAACTACAGTGGGATGAGTCAGCCCAGTGCGAATTGGAGAGACCAGTCGCATTCGCTAGTCGATCTCTTACTAAGACACAACGTCGTTACTGCACTACACGTCGAGAACTATTAGCAGTTGTCTCATTCGTTTGCCACTTCCGTCATTTTCTGTTTGGCAGAAAATTCTTGATCCGGACTGATCACTCATCTCTTAGATGGATAATGTCATTTCGCGAACCAACTGATCAAATGGCTAGATGGATTGAGAGATTATCTCAATTCGACTTCGTGATCGAACATCGGGAAGGGAGAAAGCACGGCAATGCTGACGCGTTATCTAGAATCGCATGTGATCCCGATACATGTGACTGCTATGACAAATCATCGATCCTCGAAAAACTACCATGTGGAGGATGTAAGACCTGTGAGAGGCGACATCGTGAATGGTCTGACTTCTTCGAGGAAGACGACATCATCCCACTTTCCGCGAGAAGTATCCGGCCAACACAGAAACCGGCCTCACACATCCAAGCTGACGCAAGCTGTCAGACTACGTCAATAAGTTCTCATCAAGGAAGGGGACCTGAAGTAAAGAAAGGACTATACGTCATGATTGTGTTCGTCATCGCTTTCTTTATGAGTTTGATCAGCAGTATAACAAGGTGTAGAACGCTATGGGGAATTATGACAGTGTGTATCCTCGGTATCTTGGCAGTATTTTGGCAGAATGTTGTGCATGGAGGATATTATGTTATGAATGGAGCAGTATTGTCGTTTGGAGGAGGATTATGGTCAATCCCAAGTAGATTAGCTAGAGTGAATCGTGCTTCGACGTCGCAGAAGAAGGTGCCGCCTGATAAGCGAGGTAATGATGTTAACAACGATGGCCAGTCAGACTTTGTAAGTGGGGGAAGGCCCGAGCTCCAGGGAGTCATCATTGGAAATCTTACTCGCGAAGAATTGATAACTATGCAAAAGAATGACCCAAATGTCGCGATCGTGC